CGTGTGCAAATTATCAGAAGGAAATGCAAGAATTCTTTCAGAGTGTATGCGTCTTGTTTCGTAAATAACACCGAAACATATTTTTTCTTGATTCTGTGTCCCTGTAAGCTACGCGGAATGTCTGTAAAGACCAGAGTGTCAATTTTTAATTTTTGATCTTCTCCACACTGTGCGTGGCTCATGGCCTGTTTCAACGATAATTATCGAGGAGTCGCCATCCAGTCACCTTTGTTTACTTTGTAAGTCAAGGAAGCGTTACCACACGGATCATGTTCATGCGACGTTTCAGGACAACTTGGGGTCTATTTTCTATCCAGTTATTATAAAAACCTAAAATCTTCAACGTAGAAGATAAAAAAAACCAAAGTTTAAATGGTCAAAGTGATATCTCGATCGCAATTGAGCAAACACGCGGATTTGCGTTGTTTTAAAGATGTTAGTGAATGAAAGTTAGAGAGATATCCGCAGTTCTAAGGCAATCGGTGCACTAATACGCCTTTTTGGCCCGATTTACGCCTGTATTTATTAGAACCAAAAATAAACTTTGGCTTGTGGCGACACAACTATTTTTGAAATACGCCTTAAACCATTTTCATGGGCAAAAAAAAAAAAAACCTTTACTATCGACGAGAAGTAGAGAGGACCGCTCTTAGCGAGAGCGGTACTCAAGTGTATGGTTGTGAGTTATATAACATTCAGTTAGAAAAAATACATAAATCCTATCTACTAAATTAGTTATTCAGTTTCTTTTTTCGTCTCTCACTTTGCGTGTTATCCGTCCTTTGCGCTGCCTCACGTTTGCCTCCGATCGACTGAAAAACACAAGAAAACACTTCTTTTCTGCAGATTATCATAGTTGAGACTAGAGCTGTCTCGCGGTCTTATAGTTTACTGAGTCTCATTGACATAAAAGTGTAGTTTGTAGTTTAACTTTCCAAATTTTTAAAGAAAAATGATATTAATTGTGCAGCGTAAAAGAGAGAGCGCTTTTTAGGGAAGCGTTTGCAGGAAAGACCGAAAAGATATTACAACATTTATGTATACGCCCCTAAGATCAAATTCGCATTTAAGAAAAAGGTGTGGTATTTATTAACTTCTTTAATATGCATTACCCTTGCAGTTTTTGGGAAGAGTTGTGATTGAATAAGTAACGGAACAAAATATTTGCTAAATTATAAAAAGAGTACCTCATTAAAAAATTGTAACAGACGTATTTAGCTATTCGCTGAAAATGCTCCATTGACCCGATCATCAGAAAACAACATTGCGGACCACCGAGTAACAGACGTTAGACGAGGTCTGTTTTCTATAGATGAGTTCCGTTATTTGAATGTGCCTCGAGTTGGAATATTCTCGGTGCACGACGACTTGGAGTGTACCATGAGATGCCTTCAACATCCTTCTTGTATTTCTGTGAACTTGGCCCTCGAAATAAGACTGTGGTGCGAGTTATTGTCATCTGATAAGTACAGCAACCCCAAGGAATTCAGACAAAACGAAAGCTCGTATCACTATCACATCGTGGTAAGGACTCTCTTCTGTGTTTTTTCATATTTCGAAGCAGCCTGTCCGGTGAAACACTCTATAATATATTAATTGCAGCCTTAATTAAGGAAGCGTCATCCAAGATGAATGATCAGTAACTTCTTTTGGGATTAAAATAATTACCCGCGCCTTCTTCCGGAGTGAACGTTCGTCTTCCTTCAAGACTGAATGAGATGTGCTTTTTCCGATTATCATTTCACTCGCTCTCTCGTTAATTCGCTTACTTCTCTATTCACTCATTTCATTTGTTCATCCCTTCATATTCTTAGGTGTGCCAACCACGACCTAACTCCACAGAAAAACAATCTTTGAATCGAATGGCCATTGTATAAGTTTCTCTTAAGTGAATATTGCAAAAGCAGCTTATTAGTGACTTTTCAACACACTTGCATAGTACGCTGTTTGGGCTAAGTCGTGTCATACTGAGCGTGAAAGTTCTTTTTTATCTCTCTCTTTCTTCGGAAGAACATATGTGCTGACAATCCTTGCGCGAACAACGCCACTTGTCGAAGCAGTTTTACAGACAAACTTTATCAGTGTCTTTGTCCTGCCGGATACAAAGGTCCGAGGTGCCAAACAGGTAAATAAAAAAAATCCTTTATATCGTTCAAGTGAGATCTTCAATTCAATTATTAAGAAGCATTCAAGTCGAACACTAACTACATGAACATGTGTCATTTACATCGTCATTTCTAAGCAACAAAAAAAAACAAAAAAACCAAAGAGAGAATGAAAGAGAGAGACACACAGAGGAAAGTAAACTTACATGTTTTTTTCTTAAATCTGAAACTCTAATTCTAATTGTGGGTAAGTGAAGTGGATTAAAATATAACTACAATGAACCTACATACGAATACATTTGATTTAGTACTAATGAGATTGAAAAGAAAAGCAAATGATTACCTGCAATTCCACCTGACCCACTAATTCATCTGTTTGTTTCCTTCGCTTCCTGTTTTTTTTGTTGTCTTCAGACATCGATGAGTGTGCCAAAGGGATTCACAATTGCAGTCCCCATGCCTTTTGCAACAATACCAAAGGGTCTTACTACTGCGCATGCAAGCCCGGATTCACTGGGAATGGCCGAGGATGCAAAGGTACATGCAAACGTTGACTTTTGTACACATTAAGTTAAGAGGGGTTCCTATGAAAGAACTTTCTGATGAAAATGTCAACGCACTGCATTAACCATAACGCGTAACGCAAAGCACATAGCAAACAGAGCATGAATTCACAAATATATGAAATCTGACAACTCTTATGATAAGAGAGAAGAGTATTTCGTGGGTTGATACCATGAAATTTGAGCAGGAAAAAGAGCAGAATGATTAATCACTCTTCAAACACAAGTTACTTTAGTTACTTGGAGAGCCATCAGTTAATTAGTAACTTTAAAGACTGGATGGAAATAATTATTATCAATGATAATGATACCCTCTCTTCTTTTGTAGGATTTGAAGTAACATGCTTGCATGCTACTCGAGAAAGTCCTCTAGAAAAGAAAATGTCTCAGTTCAGCCAGGAAGAAAAAAAAAGACTAACACACGATAGACAATATAATTTTATAATTCTAATCAAAGGTATTTTTAAACTACTTCCAGAAGCTACTTCGTGTAAAGAAATTTATGACAAGGATATGTAAGTAGAATTGATATTCGATTATTTATTATCTATTATTATCAAGTCCATCACGTCACCGAATATAACCCAATTTTCAAGCCACATTCCAGAAAGTCCGTCTAAATTAAATTCAATTTGGTGGAGTGTATTACTGTCCTCACAGAAGTGAAAAATATCCTTTGCCCCCAGAAACCTGTTTAATTCCAGGATAAATAACCGAGCCTTGTTGCTACAAAGGCTGTTGTTTATATTCTGCAGTTGTTGACGTCGTCTTTTGCTGAAGGATCAACTTTTCCTTTGCTTATTTGTTGAATCATTGTTATTATTATTATCACTCAGTATCTTTCCCATTATCACCTTCATTGCCACCGTTGTAGCTATGATAGTTATTTTTATAAGCTCAAGTTTTATTTCACCATCATTGTTTTCACTATTAATTGTATTTTTTTTTTCATTTTGATTCAAAAGATCCAATGTGACCGGTGTGGTTACCCTTCTTGTTGACTCCCAACCATTGTCCGTTTTCTGTCACATTGGAAATTTCGGGTGCGGAGATGGAGGATGGACGCCAGTCATGAAGATTGACGGCAGAGAGGTGCATAATTTTATTGAATAATTTATTTCCTGTATAAACCCACTTTCTTTCAAAACGTTGCAAGTTAAAAACGTGCGTGTTACATATGTATGTATGTATGCCTTTAGTTGTCTTTCATTGAGAAGGTAATACATGAAGAACAGACTTCGTTCAACGTAAATTTTAAGACTTGTTGTGTGTAGGGACTGTTGAAAAAGGATGAAAAAGAATGCAAAAATATATTCTAACATTTTTGTCTCAAGTAGCATGTAACGGCTATTTAAGAAATACACACCATTAAGATCGTAATTCGGTTAAAAGCTGTCCGGAACAAACAAGATATCTTATCTCAGTTAAAGTTCCACACTGGTTAATAAGTATGTAGATATCACCCTGATTTAAAGAGCTGTCACTGCTCATTCCCCGAGCAGCGGGAGGGAGGATAGGTAGAGGAGGATTCTTGGAGGACTATATAACATTAGGAGCCAATTAACTTGCCAATAAGGAGAAATCGTTGATCATAGCAATATTACAGTCTTATGGGGAGATCAGGTTACTTTTATCGTGACATAACCAAAATCCAATCCTTTTTTTTACGATGGCGTAATCTCCAAGGTCAATTTAACGGTAAAACAAATGAGTAATGGATTAATAAATGCAGATACACGACAGGGCTTTGACAGAAAATATCCATTAATTCGGAGTTAATTAAAAAAAAAAATTAATTGCTCCTATATTTCAGACCACCTTCCATTATGACAAGCATTACTGGATAAATTACCAAGGATACAATCTTCCCGGAGGAGAGACTGGGTTCGACGGACAAGAGTCAAAGCTACCCACCTACTGGAACACATCCTTCTCCAAGATCTGTCTCGGTATGAAGATCAACCAACAGCTCAGGTTCATTGTCATCCACAAGCAGGCTGACTCTCTGCACTCACTGATCGCTGATGGCCAATACCGCGCCACCTCACTTGGTCGTGACGAGTGGAAAGAGTTGATTGGTTCCCAAGGCTCGTTACAGGACAACTGCAACAAAGAAGGGTTTAATGTCGTTTGTAGTTGGAGTACATATTCTAAAGCCAGAATTGGTATTGTTAGCGAAAACAAGAATGAGTGTGGCTCGTGCGACTCAAGGATCGGTTTTGGCACAAAAGGGCAACCTGACGATTCAAACACGTGTGGTAACGAGGCCGTTAATAATCCAGATAATGGAAACAAACACCTCAAAGCCATGGGATACATCTTGGTACAATAAATATGACTCAGTTTTTGCAAAATAAACCTAATAATAAGTCTTATTGTCGATTTGTTTCAAGCGCAACCCCTCGAATAGGGACTTATGTCCGTGTATAACTTTGGTTTTACCCTGGATCAATCTCTAGCCATTCTTTCTTTTAACTCTACATAGATAAATTTGAGAAACCACGTTGAACATTCTATAATGTAAAACGGCATGTTAAACAGCATTCAAATATTCTGATAACAGAGATGTCCAACTCGCTTACTATGTCGTAGAAATAATTGTAGGCTAATAATTTTTGCTTATATTATCCTAGAATTTCAGAAGGTTTAACCTATGAGGAAGAGGTGGACGGGTCAAAATCTCTCCCTCTGCGTTTGGATTGTTTTTTTGCATCAATGCAATCCTTTAGGGATCGAATTGGAAAGGAACAGTTATGCTTTGTGGCCTTAATGAAATTGAAACGATACTTCAATAAAATAGACTTGTTTGCTCCAGTTTTATCTTTCGTTGCCTTCAGAGAGATGTAAATGCACAGTTCTGAACTTATCAGCTCATCTAAGTTCGGGCGGGGCACTTATCTGATAACTTCCAAGCTGCTTAGATGTAACAATCTTCCGTAACTAACCTTGTCTCTCCACCACATCGCCCGTTTTACATAGGTGCCCTCTTTTCTTCGCTCTTTCCACCCTACTACTTAGTTTACCATTTCTTTAAAAATCTTCCGCTGATTCCCAGAACCTCATCTCCCTTTGCTGATCACCATTTTGCCTTCCCTAATGGTCAGACTCTCTTTTGAAATGATTTTCCTCGAGACGGAAGCCACTTACAATTCCCTTTTTATCGCTTTTCACTTAGAAAAAACAAACTTATTGATATGTTCGTTGTTAAGTTCTTTCCCGGAAACATAAAATATTTCAAACTCAATCTATGATAGCACACCTGTCTGACTAATAAATGGTGCTTCGGAATCACTAAAATGAAAGAGAAAATCGCTGTAAATTCTCATATATTTTGTTTTGCTGATAACTTTTTTAACGCCCAGCCTCAGTACGAGATCAGCACACATATTCGACTTTTAACATAGACGGGTGACTTTTCTCCTAGCCTGATATTTTTAGCCAAAAAACTGCACTGCTCTCTGAACCAAAGACATGTCTCATCTATTTCAGCCCCCAGACAGTTTGCTTTAGGTAGCTTTGAAATCTCATTGGTTCCGAGCGATGATTTTCTGTATTACAGTTGGTGGTTGTAATTTCTTTTGTTTTGCTTTTCAACATCACTCCCATCAACTGAAAAGCTCAAAGCCTTTCCTTTACTATTCTCAGAATCAATTGTCCTCTACAGGAATTAAACAATTAAAAAAATCGGATAAACAAACACCCATTAAACTTTTGACCCCTAGGAGTGACAAGCATCTAATTTCTCTTGCAATATCACCCCTGGATCCAACATTAAGGTCACCCAAATCAAGGAATTGATCACAGACTAAAGCTCTTGATTGTTAAACTAATTCTCCTCCACGGCTCCTTGGGAAACATGGAGAACAGTGTGGAGAATATGCATACTGATTTTAGGGCGGAAAGGGTTAACCTTGTAATAGATTGGCATCCCACCCGATGGGGGTTGGTGGCAGAGTACGGGGAAACTCTTATGGCACATGTGCAAATAACAGGCCCTTAGTTGCTCGACAACAATAAAAGCTGGAGCTGTGGCGGGAACAGCCCCTTGAGTTATGAGCTGAGGAGAAATAGACTGGCAGGACTGGGACTTCCCACGGTTGATAAAAGCTTTTGAAAAGTTGGAAGGAAATCAACCCCATTGTGAGCGGCACGGATAATCCAGGGAAGCAAAGTGCTAAATTCCGCGATCGCGGAAAAACATTTCATGTAAACGAAACAACGCCAAAACAAAGAGGGTTTGTCTACTGTGACGTAACTGACCACAGAGCTATAAATTGTAAGAAGTTTGTGACATTTGGAGACCCCAGGAAGGAACTGGGTCTGAAACAACTGTGTTTTAATTGTACAGGAAGTCGATACCGCGTTGCTGAGTGCAAATGCGCTTCTGGCTGCCAGATCTGTAGCCGAAGACCTCATACATCGATCTGTGACAAACCTGTATCGCGAGACCAGCTGATGACCACAACGAGCGCAGAGAGAAAAGGAGTGGTGTATCCGGACCACATTTAGTATCTGGGCAACCGAGCTCGATTCATGTTCACCGTACTCGAATAGCAATTCGAGTACCATTTCAAACCAACCTCGGTTCAACGAGCTCGAAATGCAGTCAATTCTATTCGAGCTCGATTCAACTATATCGTGCTCGATTAAAAAGACGAGCTCGACGAACTCAATCTGCTCTTATCGACCTCAGTTATTTTTATCGAGCTCGGTTTGCCACGTATTCTATCGAGCACGGTTTGCCTCGCATTCTGTAGGTTTCATATTGAGCTCGATTTGGTATCGAGCTCGGTTTAATCTTCATTCAGCAAATGAGAGGTAATCTGGTACCAAGACTTGGGAGGGAGCATGGGACGAGCGAGAGTGGCCATGTTTCTGGCAAATTTGTCGAGTTTAGTTCGTGAATTCGGGACTTTTTAGGAGTATGTTTTCGGTCGAATTCGAAAAAAAAGAAGAAGAGTGACAGAAGAAAAGCAAAGAATGATTTCTACTGCTAAGGAGATGAAGGAAATGACACTAAGGTGAGCATTGGCTCTTTACGGGAGGGTGTTCCGAGTTGCTGGTTCATAGTTTGTAGTAACGTTTTGTTCAGTTTCAAACTTAAGCTCAATCCTGGAGTGTACGGTTCTCGGTTATTTTAAATCTCAGTAGTGTAATAAGAAAGTGTCTCCCTCCATTTTACCAACCCCAAGTTTATCCCACAAAAAAGTATACATAACAACATGCAACAATACACACATTCTATTTTTATTATATAAGCTCAATACACTTTCGTGTTTCTATTTTAATTGGTCGTTTGTAACGAGGAAAGGGACAGAACTCTAATGAAATATGAAAATCTTTTGGAGAATATGACAAAAAAAGTCTGAAAAGTAATGTATGTTCATCTCTTGCAATCAAATATTAACTAAAGAAGAATAATAATAACTATACTGAACATATGCATTATCAGAGACCATGGTTGATTGACGACATTTCACGAAATTAAGAAAGTGTGGCGGGCTAATGTAATTGTTAAAAGAAGCTAAATTTTTAAATATAAAATAAACATACAGTTCAAGCTGTGTTTATCAGTGAGAGAAATGTATTTTTGAATCCAGATTGATTAAATGTTGCTAGATGAAGATAGATTTGCCAATTTTGTGAAAAGTGAGTAATTTTCAGGAATTGGTTTGATAGTTGAGAGCAAAGAGGTTTCCATTATTAACAGGTCTTAAAATGTTCGATCCAGTTATGAATGTGTTACTAGATCCACCAAAAAGCCATTAAACAACTGCAACACTTCACTTTTAACAAAATGATCAATGCTTGTTGATCTAACCTTGGTTTTTAAACGGCCTGACCTAGCCCTCTTTATAGACTGCAAAAACCATATTCTTAATTTGCAGTCATGACAAAAAAAATAAGCAAGAAATTTATGACTGTTAAGTAACAGGTTAATAAAAATGCCAGTTGACTTTTTTTAATAACTGAATTGAACATTTTATGACCTGTTCATGAAATTAGTACAAGTTGAAGTAGTAAATAATAAATTTAACATCAAGGCTGCCATTTCCGTCCAGTAGACTATCCACATTTGGTATCCTCCAACCCCACATTTCTCCTTCTTTCAGGGACACTATGTCCGAGTCTAGCACTTGCCCATTGTCACTTCCAGGGGCCATTACAATTCTTCAAAAAGAAAATAGAATATATATTTACATATCATAACATTGTTCCACTCAACAATCATTGTGAATTTTTATGCCAGATATCCGTATTGTCTCTCAGCTTAAACAGGAGTAGTACATGGGTGGGTTCGGCTTTGAACACAGCCGTTAGCAAGTTCTGGCACAGTCATACACAAATAGGTACAATGAAATGTTTTTTTTCATGCAACACACAGACAGCAAATTTAGTGTTATGCATCATTTCTTCTAAAGCCCCCTTAGTTATAAAGGTGATTTTTTTCCAAACATAATATCAATTTCCCTTTGACAATCTATGAACAAATTCTCATAACCTTTTCTCCTGGTTTAGTATAATTCGATTTGTGATGAAAATAGTGTTGGTCACTCTTGGGACATGAAAGAAGGCAAAGGTAGCATTTTCCTTTAAGTGCACTCACAAACACTCTGCATGAAATAATTAAAGTTCTTACTGAATTTCCCCAGTAACTGGATGGGATGCTGAGAGCAGCTGCAGGAACAATTTTTGTTGTCCGGAGTACAGTCCTCTCCATCTGCAGTTGTCATCTATAAATGGCCCACTTGTAAGGGGCTTGTCTCCAATGGCATCTGAAGCTTGTTGTCTCCTGCTCTCCACAAAATTTGGAATTCTCCAGCAAAAGGAGACAACCCTTTCCACTTTGGGCTCTATGAGTTCTATGTTGCATTTCTAAAACAGAAATGGATTTTATGGATATTATGAAATGCACCAGAAAAAGATTTTCAATGTAAGATTTTGAAGGTAAATGCAACAGTTGCCATCCTTTTTTCCACTTACTTCGCTGGTTTTGGCATTTAAAAGAGTGCATGTTTTATTGATTTTTAGGTTGGTGAAAAGGCAGCTTACCTTGTAAAATATTATTCCTCGCAGTCGTTTGATTTCTCCTGATTGGAGCGCAAAATGCGAGGTACTTGCTTCCTTCAAATGGACATTCATGTCCTTCTTTTTCACAATTTTTTTGCAGCCAGGTACTTGGCACATTGAAGCCTTCTCTGGGCATTTGTGTAGATGTAGGTTGATGTTCATTCTACAATTCAAAAAGAGGTATGTGTTAGTTCTAGATCTTCCATTTTGACTGGTATCATATATTCCAACAGTGGTTTGATAAAAAAAAAAAGTGGGAAA